ATCACACACGAAGTTTGTAGCAACAACTTCTTAGGAAGGGGGGTGGAAGGAGTGTCGCAAATCATTGGAATCATTCGTCACAGCATAACTAAAGGCATCCTATTTGATGAAATTTATGAGAAACGATGCAGCTCTTACATTTCAACTTCTGGTCCATTTCCATTCTTCTAAATATATTCCCCAGATTTGAGTACAATAACAAGTGCTCAAATCTAGAGCATCTGAAGCAGGGATGGAAGTAAGGTCTCTTGGTGCTCTTTTCGCTTGTGGAATCAAAAAAGGGCTGCAGTGGTCCTACTCTGCTCAAAGGTAGAAACCTAGTAGCCCGTGATTGGAAAGTGTTACTCGCAACAATGTTTGAATACCCCTCCCCCCCCTCTGATGGCATGATGGCATTATGGTGCTCCTTTCGCTTAACAGCAAGAAAACTTCAATCTGTCCTTGTTTAATCATAAAAAACGGTGTTAGAGAGTGAATCAAGATAATCTTATTGAAGACAGAGCATTTAGTAGTCGAAAACTCACAGCGCATTCATAAGCGGTACTCCAAGCATTATTACAGAGAATAAAAAAACAATGGGCAAGCCGAACTGAATGAGTAGTACAGTAGAGTACCCGAGAAGGGCAAGAACCATATTGAGATGTAGGCGATACGTTTTCAGAGAAAATTCGCTTTTTTTTGATCGGATTAGGATAACAGTTCTGTAAAGCAGAAATTCATTAATGTGTTATATATGACCACTGAGACCAGAGCAAAGAAATTACGGTGACCCTGTTCGAAGCTTACCAATTTTTTCACCGTGTTGTATAAAGTGAATAGAAAGTAGCTGGAGGTTCTCACCTGATGATCATTCCTGTACAAGCGATTGCTGATGAGATGTAAACCACAACTACTGACATCAACGACGAATCTATGCCGCTTGTAGATACGAAATATAGAATCAAAGGAGCGAATTTAGCCACTACGAGTGCATTCCTTGGATCCGCTGCCAGAAGCGAAGGTATTGACGATGTGTCATGCGATATAAGGACAAGTGCCAGGATGGTGATGGATACCATCAGAACAAATGGAAGAATTAGAGCTAGCCTGCACATGATCATAAAAGCGATCGACCTCATAAATGAAAAATGACATACAGTTATGTATTTCAGTGATATCGAGTATACAGCACTAAAATAGCTGATTGCCCCGAACCAGATAGCTACAGCACAGTAGATCACAGTAGATTTAAGACCAAAATTCAATAGTGCTATGTTGAGCAACACGGGGTATGGCACTAGGACGTATGGCACAATTAAGAAACACATGATGTTGCACGCAACAGCAGGAGCAATAACATTGCAGTACATGAGAAGTCGCATTGGGGTCACTAGACTGATTTCACTTGTTTTCATTACATATAAGGAGAACACCAGCACGATATCTGTAGCTATGCCGTTTGCAATCATTGTGTTTCGTTGAAGTTCGAAATACAGCGAATGCTTCTCGAATATCTCATAGAAGCCAACGAGCTGCGAACTATTCATTATGCTGGAAGATTAATGCCCGCGACAATCTTTCCGATATTCACGTCTATCTGCAAAAGACTAATAATTGTGATTACAAAAAGAGTTAGAGAAGCCTGGTATATGGCGTAATCACTGCACACATATACGAATCTACAGTAACCACAAAACAAGCACTTCCAGTAGTGCATCGAATTGCTGAAAAAAAGTTTAGAAACATAGTTTCAACAAGTGTTCGCTGAATATTACAGAATCTAGTGCGAAAATTTGACAGAAAATTGCTCAGCACAACCTTCATGATGAAATCAGCAGTCTATCTATGGCTACAAATATATTATTAGGACGCTTAGAGTGTTCTTGACGTTTATGACTTTGAAATTCAAATGCTTGCTTGGCTAACAAAAAATTTCGATTGTTTAAAAAAATCATAACACTGTACAAATTCCGCCAATAAGAAACGAGATTCACTCAGCTGCGTCTAAAGTCCTGGTGCTTTGGAAAACTCTATGAAGACCGCTTTACCATGATGTTGTGTTTCAAATAATTCTCTTTGAGGAAGCTACTCAGTGATTGCAAAATCGACACTCTGTAGGAAGTTAGTTTGGTGCGTATGTTGATTGCAGCGAGATTTGTTGCTCAGTTTGTTTAACTTGTGAAGGCTCAGATGTGCAATATGGGGCTGCACACTCATGAGGGGAGGAGCCAACGGCACTAACAAGGGAGGTCTTTCAGGGCAAGCCGCGCTTTTTGGAAACGGTTTCTTGCATATTGTAGGGACGCATGTATGGACCACAAAACCATGTTTCGTTTTCGCTGAACGGTTTTAGTAGTACCAAAAAAGTGGTGAATAATACCCTTGATGGTTCGATCCCCCGCGGCGACTAAATTTTGCAATCAAGGTTGGCGGCCACTTGTTGGCTTCAAAATGGTCCTGACGATTGACATCTGATTTTGATATTTAGCGCGATTTGGCACCAAACCGTAGGCGCCAACCCAAATGCAAAATTTAGTCGCCACGGGGGATCGAACCATAACAGTTGTTTCATTAGTAGTGTCGCTTTTTTAAACCAAAAAAATTTCACCTGAATCCTGATGCTTTTACATCGTGTTATATACCATTCGAAAGAGAATTATCTGCTCTACAAGATGTTGTGTTTCCCTTTTACCTATGTTCCACAGTTTTGAATTTTTAGGCCTGCGGAATGGGAGGTCCAGCCGACAAGAATTGACCAAACCGACAACTATCTCTAACTTTATCTTCCCTTGGGAGAAATACAAGGTAGAATGATGCCTCTCCTTACACATGAACTCTGTGCGACAGGTACATTCGACTATTATGTTTCTCTAAGAAGTCGCGTCGCTCCTTTTCCAGACCTGGTTTTTCAACCAGAACTCGACGGTCGAGCACCATTAGCTGAGATCTAGGGCAAAATTTTTTTATAGCCGAGACATTGAAAAACTAGTAGAATTCAAAGAACAAGTCATGACTAAGTTTAGGAATGTACGCCTGGTTGATTTTCTCATCAGGGCTTCTTCAAGGGATAATTTTTTTCAAAGAAATGCGGTCACTTTCGCGCGGATAAAACACCTTATTACCTAAACACCTAAAATTCGAACTAATTCCCAACAAACATAACAAAACAAATGAGCGATAGAGCAGAAGAAGTGCTCACAAAAGGAACACCACTCGATATGAAACAATGGCGTTTACGAGGAACAATTTTAATTTGAAAATTGCTATGGCTTATCGGTCAGCCAATTCGAAAAGAAACACGGCAAAGCTTTTTCGGCAACCTAAGAGTGGAATGTTCAGAAGAGGTCATGAGTAAGTAGAGGGTACATCATTGATTGATTTCTCCCAAGGGAAAATAAAGTTAGAGCTAGTTGTCGGTTTGGTCAATTTTTGTCGGCTGGACCTCCCATTTCGCAGGCCTAAAATTTGAAAACCCTGGAACAGAGGTGGAAGAGAACATAGCATCTTGTAGAGCAGACAATTCTCTTTCGAATGGTATATGACATGGATGTAAAAGCATGGGGATTTAGAGAAAATTTTTTGGTTTGAAAAAAAGCGACACTACTTATGAGACAACCTAATATTAACAGTACCTTATGCTTCTTTTTGGTACTGCTATAACCGTTCAGCGAAAATGAAACATGGTTTTGTGTTCCCTACATGCGTCCCTACAATATGCAACAAACCGTTTTGAAAAAGCGCGGCTTGCCCTGAAAAACTCTCCTTGTAAGACCACAAACTTTTTACCAATGTCTCTATATTTGAGAACCCCTTTTCGTCTACACCGATAGAGCAACCTTTTAATATTCTAGGCAGGTTTGCTTTGATGGAATCCCTCTGAAATCCTTCCCAAGTTCCCATATTCACCAGTACCCTCACTTTTCTAAACTATCACAAACGCTATAATGGAGTTTCAAATCACGATCACAGGGTACTCACTGTGGATTCGAGGTCAAATGCATAATTGTTATTGCGACTTGCTTTACTATTCTCTGGCCAAATTTCAGTGGGAACAAGAAAATTTTACCAATCGCCTCTTGATTATGCTGTACTGCCTCAATGTTTACCCGTACAGTGCGTACCAAAAGTATGTGGACACCCTAAAATTTTTCCTTCTCTGAGAAACTGTTGACTTCTGCACCATGAGATCGCCACCATTCGATTTCTCGGATACGGAAACCTTAGATTTTTTCATTTCTCACCGTTTTACATGCAGCTTTAAATTTTTTAATTAATGGAAAAACTTTCCCCTGCTTTCCCTGTATCAAAAGTATGTGGACACTTTTCGAAAAACAGAAATATCTTCAGAATCAAAGACTGGTAGGCCTACCAAAGATTCTGATAAGTTCAAACATTTTGTTCGGCATGTTCTGAACCAGGCTCCCGATACCTGTTTCGTCGAACTCTTCCCAAGCAGCTAATTTCAGCAACTTGTTAGGTCACTTGGGGTACTACTTTTTCTTTAATGGCGCAGAAGCAGTGAACCACTATCCCCCTACGTTTTCAATAACGATGTGGTCTGAGGAATACGCCAGCCAATCCAGCACCCGAAACCCTCGCGTTTGCCTCCTTTCCAAATGGAATACGTGTAGGGGACCCCCCTTGGGCTTGCTGCAAAACAAGTGTTTTGTGACGCTGGCTTCTCGAAAAAGGTATAAGTCGGGATCCAAGCACCTCATTATAATCCTAATTGTCTACCTGACATGCTGGCAAGCCAATCTCCAATTTTCCGCTTCTTTTGAAACCACCCCAGACAATTGATGAGCCTCCGAAATGTCTCTTTGAGTACAGCTGCTGGTCACGACGAAGGTCCCTCCATTTGCAACGAGATCCACCCGAATAGCCAAGGTAAGTTTTTCTCACAAGTTGAAGTGTTTTGGGAGAGAATCTTTTGCATAGCGTCTTTTTTTCTTATCTTATAGTTTTAAGCGCTGTATCTTCGGGTTGAACGTCTCATGTTGTGTTTGAACAGAATTCCAACCTTGCCAATCTGTGCTGTGCATCCATACACGAAGCTTTCTTCATCTTCTCTCGTGTCGTGTGCTCACTCGATTGGATGGAACACCGAGTGGTCTTTTTCATAAGAGGGAAGTCATTTAAGCGCGAACGCGGATAGCAGACCAAAGAAATTTTGAGACAGTACAGGCTATTTTGTGTTGTTTTGAACAAGTAACGATTGAAGACGACCCTCAATCAGTGTTGGGAGCTTAGCATCAGGATTCTGGATCTCTTTCCCAACAAACGAGGACGCACGACCGGGTTGACGTGCGATTTCGCAATTGGAAGGTCCAGCAACATGAGGACCCCACATCTCTGCTTGGTCCTCTTTAGAAAAATGCCTGTTGTGAAGAGGATGCCAGAATAAGTAACAAAAAGTAAAACATAGGTTAGAAATCGATGCAAGAAACTTCATCTGCCTCAGGGTGTCCACATAATTTTGATACAAAGAAAAAACTTTCCATGAAAAATAGTTCGCTAAGTTAGAACGAAATCTTTTGCCGAAATGTCATTGTAGGTTATCGACCACTAGGAGTTGAATGGTGAAGGTTTCATGACAAAAAGCCTTTAGCTGACCCCTGAGAATCGATTTTAGGGTGTCCACATACTTTTGGTACGCACTGTACTTGTTCACACCTTATCGTGACTGGTTTCTGAGTTTTTAAAGTGTGGAATAAAATAATTAGTTTGTGGTCCGTCACCCAGAGTGGATACTTGAAAACACACACTTGTGAGAAGATATCTTGCATCCACCTGCTCTGAGATATTTGATTCGTTAGAATAATCAACGGCTCCGTTAGAATATTCAATGGCTCCAATCGATTCACCTGCTGCAAGGTGCCTCAGATCATAGTACTACATTGTAAGGGGAGATTCCGTCCCATGAATATTTGAATATGATGTTCCATTTGTTGTGGTGGGGAAAAACAGATGCTGCACTATTTCTTCTTGTATCAATTTCACTTTCACTTCTACATACCATAACTTGCTGTTACGTTTTGAGAGAGGGCATGGTCTCCTAGAAAATTCAGCGGAGCCCGAT